CATCTTCAAATAAAGTAGTGAACAAATCATCAGCTTGTGACTCAGTCTCCTCTTCTTCGTCATCTTCGACAACGACTTCCTCGGGAATTATGGACACGGGCTCAGCATCATTGGGATTGGCCACTTGTGAGATTTGAGATTGTTGAGAAAGTTGAAATTTTATGTATAAATCTATCGCATGTAACCCAGATAATTCATGGTTGTAAAACATCATTTCCACATCATCATCATCTCGGATTTTCAGTGGAACATATTTCACCTGGTTCACACCGAAATTAACAGCATTTCGATATATAATTTGTGAGACAGCTCCAGATTGCATCCTTGTTTGTATCCTCTCCCTCAAATATTCAAACTTCGCATTTCTACTTAATTTGAACCGGCATATATCAGTATTTTCGAATATAATACCCATTTCATCAGAGATAAGGATCTCTCCATTGTAATGAGCATCCACTATATATTGAGGTATTTGAGACATGTTGATTTGTTAGTGAATAGGATCTGAATTGTAGGAGAAATTTGTTTTTTAGATGGGTTGGCTTGATGAAAAAAAGTAGGAGGTAGAAGTGTATTTAAATGAAATAGATTTTGTGTTTAGTAGATATGTTGTAATAAATAAACGCAGGAAGAACTGAATTTAGTGGTCAAACTAATAACATTAACTCATCCGCCCAATGCAGAAGCGGTGCCATTAAATTGTGAAAGGGTTCCGCCCAATGCAGAAGCGAAAGCATTGATGTTCCTACAGGCTCCGCCCATTGCTCATGCGTCCTTGGCAGACATAATTGCACGCTTCCGCCCATTAAATGCGCGGATGGCAGACAAAAAGTAACATGTCCGCCCATTGTATCTGCGGCATGTCAGAAAATGCAAAGGGTTCCGCCCATTGAGTAGGCGGACTCTGTAAAGCTGTGCATGCAGCACAGTCTACATACACAACATGCATGCAGAGTAATTACTCCCAACCATTTTATGGTTTCCATTAAATTTTTTGAATAAAAACCCTACATTTTTTCTCTATAAATACTACTCATTTTTTCAAAATTTACATTATACTCAATCTTTATCTATTCTTTCTCATCATAATTTTACACCAATCTCAATTTTCTATAATGTCTCTGTTAACTTATGGAGAGGAGCACCGAGGAACATTGTCAAACATACTCCAATATGTAAGTCTTGAATATATTTACGTATAAATTTTTTTAAATTTTAAGCATATACTTCTGACATTAACCATATTCTAATATTAACTATTTTTTTTTAGAATGAGAAAAAATTTAGGCCTCGTACACACTCATATGTGCGCGTAGACGAAATGATCCGTCCATATCTGATGCAAGCGGGCTTTGGGCACGTTCTCAACATAACGTCATATGGGGTGGATAGGAAATTTATTCTCGCTTTATGTGAAAGATGGCGTCCGGAGACACACACATTCCATCTTCCTACCGGTGAATCCACAGTCACCCTTGAAGATGTCCACATGTTGATGGGTTTACGTGTAAACGGTTTGGCAGTGAATGGGAGAACAAATGTTGACTACTCCATAACTCAAGAACTCTTGGGTGAAGAATTGCCCGAAAGAGCTAGAAAGGGACAATTCGTCAAAATTACTTGGCTCCGGGAAATATATGATGCATTTGAATTGAACCAAGATTCCCCCATAGAACAAATTCATAAAAAAACTAGAATTTATATTTTATTGGTATTCACTTGTTTATTATTTCCTGACACAAATGGTAACACAATACATATAATGTATTTACCATTGCTAGCTGACTTTAATAAAATAGGTAGATACAGTTGGGGATCAGCAGTTTTATCGCATCTATACAGAAACCTCTGTAGATGCGCCAAAAAAGATGTTCATAATTTTGCTGGTTGTTCAACACTAATACAAACTTGGGGATGGTCCAGGATGCCGAATCTAGCGCCTATGAATCATAATCCTTTTCATTTTCCGTACGCAACCAAGTAAGTTGTAACTACTCCTTTGTCTTAAACTTATTTATTATGTGAACAATATTTAACTATTACATTTTTTTAGATGGTCTGCCTATGGGATGGATTACGAAAAGACTCCTCATCATTGTGCACCTGGCTATCGGACTTTCATCGATCATTTCGAAGAATCTGATGTAATATTCTTAACCATATTTTAAGTATTACATATTTTATATAGTTCGTTAAACTAATAATTGATTTTTTTAACAGTTTACATGGAGGCCCTATTTGGGACTTGATGATACCGATCCGACCGATAGTCACGTGTGGAGTGCAAAAACATTTATCATATGTTTTACTATTGTTGAAATGCACCATTCTGATCGGGTAAAACTTCAATTTGGCATTAAGCAAGGCATACCGGATGCTCCACAGTGCATGGAGGAGTATCACAAAAGTGTGGTGAACGACCAATGGGCATATAACAATTGGAAAGATTGTTACAAGCAGGAGCGTCGTCAATGGCATAACCGCGAAAATAAAGTCTTACAAGGAGATCTCATGTCAGAAGAATGTAAACCAAGTAAGGAATACATGGAATGGTATAAGTCTGTTACAAATTTGTATCTGTCACCAAACAACTTCTTATATGACCCTCGTAATTTGCCAACATCTTCAAACGTCCAACACACCAAACCATCATCAAGCACTTACACCCAACAACCATTCATGAGCAACCAAGAACCTTTCTTCCCAACACAACCATCTTTTACGCAACAACCTTTCTTCCCAACACAACCACCTTTTACCCCAAGCCAACAATACCATCAACAAAACCCTTCTTCTAACCCCACCCAATGGGGCACCCAGCAACAAAACCCTTCATCTAACCCCACCCATTGGGGCACCCAACAATAATATCCTTCCTCTAACCCCACCCAATGGGGCACCCAACAACAATATCCTTCATCTAACCCCACCCAATGGGGCACCCAACAAACCCCACATAATCCCAACTATCAGACACCCCAACAACAAATGCCTATTCCCCGACCACAACAATTTACCTCCCAAGATTGTTACCAACCCTCAATAAATAGCTCAATGTCTTCTAATCCCATACCAAATTGGAATTGGGAGGGAACCAGATTAAGTTATGGCAGTGCAGCCGAGACAGACTTTACCAATGAGGACATGATTGATGAATTTTTAATGGGCGGGTGTGACGCGGGACCTTCAACTTCAACTCAACCACAAAATGAAGAAGGAAATCGCAGAACAGGCCAACGTACTAGACCAGCACCTGCTTGTGGAACTCACCAACGATTGACACGACCCGGTCAAAATCGACAGTAGATGTGTCTTGGAATTATATATGTTAAAATGAAAGTGTATTTTGTTTATTTATAGTATATTTTTTTTAATTAAAGTGTATTTCATTTAATTAAAGTGTATATTATTTAATTATATGAATTTAATTTATAATGTATATTATTTAATTATATGAATTTAATTTATAATGTATATTATTTAATTATATAAATTTAATTTATAATGTATATTATTTAATTATATGAATTTAATTTAGAAAAAAAAAAAAACACGTTTGCACACATCCGCCCATCTAATAGGCGGACCCTCTCTATTTTTAAAAGCACCCGTCCAATGCAGATGCAGAATCCAAGAAAAATACACTCCTCCGCCCATTGTATTGGCGGATGAGTTGTGGCAAAAATACATTTTGTTTGAAAAGAGGGTATATTAGAATTTATGAATGTGTGAGATGGTATATTGGGATTTAATGACTAAAAAGAGTGTATGTTGGTAAAAAATTCGGTTTATATTCATATTAATATTTGACCGAAAAAGAGCATCAGACAATTTGTAGGTCTTATTCTCGTAGGACATATTTTGGGGAATTTAAAAGTTGAACGTTAGCTGTGCCAAAGACAATTACTATAGGTATGCAGAAATGTCAAATCACAGATTAGTGACGTACCAGGGCGATGTGTCATATTGGCCATTCGTTTAACAATGACTATCAACCAATTAAATTTTGTACTAACCGAATTGATGATAGTTAATGATAGAATGTTTTTAAAGCTTTTGAAATGCGAAATCTAAAATCTCATTCGTGAACCAAATAATTTAACTCAAGTGGTTAATAAGCTTCTTCTAGACGAATTATTCTAAACAATCAAGATTCATTTCTATCCGAAATAACTTTTTATCAAGTTTTACTGCGAATTACAAATTTATAAGCTCTTTTAGATTAATTTATTATTCACATATAAAATTTTATAATTCTTACATGTTTACTATCACTCTAACATATATGAAAATCGGTTAATCATCAACTATTATTTAAATTAATTGATATTCGTATGAGTAAATATACAAGTAACAAAAAAATTATTTAACATTTTTTACAAATAACTTCTATAAAAAATATCATTTTAATAATTTTTTCATTTCATCTACTCACCCAAAATATTAAATTACTCTATAAAAAATTATAATCTATAGTCAAAATTCGAACAAAAATTATGTCGGTAGGTATTTGATGTTTCGATTTGTATAATTTCTTATGTCTCCTTAATTCTCCTCTGATGAAAATGACGAGAGAATTCATAATAATCCATTTTTCATTGTCTACAAATGAATACCATAACCCTTATAAATAATCTTATAATTATTTCTTAGTTTTTCGATATTTTAATTTGTTTTATCATCAAATTAAATATTGACTTATGATATCTATACAATAACATAATCTTTCATGATATTTATGATATTAATTACAAAACTTATTATTAATTAGATCACTATAATTTTAATTAATTACATAAGAATTCTAACACATATAATATTATATTTGTGACCAAATAATTATAACAGTTAAAACCAAAAATATAAATCATTACAAAAATTTGATTTAATTCGAAGACAATTTATCCTTGAAAGAATATTTTATTTCTCATGATCTATATGGCCCAACAAGTTGCCAACTTGATTACCAGTTTCTTTTGAGATTGTACTTAGCCATCCAT